AATATCATTTGACAATAGATAGAAAGAGTATCTGCAGTCTCTACCCAGATACGATTTCTTCTCGGAATGAAATTAATACATTTTCATCGATTGCCATTATTTCTTTTCTAGAAGACGTTCTGCGACATTTTATATTGTTATTGTTCTTTTTCGCATCCTCTGATAATAGTCGTGTTTTGAAAATTATCTTCCAGTAAACTTCTATCTTCTAAAATGTGCCTTCTTAAAATTTTCCAAATTGTTACATTTGTTTTCTTTAACCACAAGCCTACAGGAATCAGATGTCTCCTGTATGGGAACAAGAATTTTCATTCTTTTTGGTATAAATTATCTGTATCTGTAGGAAACTAGGAATTAATCCTCCTGATAATTAGTTACTCAAAAGAAAAAAACTAGCTCCTTTCTCAATTGAAACTTCATGATTATTATCTTCTGTAGCAGTCAATTTTCAGAGAAAAAGAAAGGCACTTTTAATCCTAAAAGAATTCAGCATTGTATCAGTTATAACTACTTCATTATTCCGCAGCATGAAAAGTTTATCAAAACTGAACCAATGCAGGAATACAAGAAGTTTTGAGCATGTGTAAGGTTCTGGTTAACATAGGAAAAGGGAAGTGTGAACATGCACTTTGATGCAATTCTGAGAATGAATTCATCCAGGAAATCTCTTTTCAAAGATGGAATTGCTCTCTTTTCTGAGATGGGATTGCATCTTATTGTTAGAAAATTGAAGTCTCATGCCGCGTGAGATGATATCCGTGCTGCAGTTCAGATCCAATCTCGTCAAACCCATACTGAATCCCAATATCTTAATCAATAGTAATCAAACACTGCCCTCCCTTGGCAGTAATTGGTCCATCTCAAGCGTGGGCATGGTATGAGGTGTTCGATTTTACGAGGCAATCTCCTCCTTCTCTTCTTTAATCAAGATGTGTTCCTTCAAATTTATTCACATCAAGCTCCCTGTATTACCACCTGGTATGCATTTTATTTTATTGACAGAATGTACTTTTTTTAAATTTCCAGGATTGACAATTTTCTTGGAAGGTAATTTTCTAACGTAATGCATCAACACAATAAGAACTGCAACAAGAACTCCATCTTGGGGAACATGTACAACTGCCTTATTACGCATTGTTCTATTATAAGGCCATTGACAAGGGGTTTTCTGTCTTAAAGTTTTGTAGAAAAATCTTAGAATTTATGGGAGTTTGTGTATTATTGGAGTCAGCTTAAGGGTGTATCTCAATGAGCGGCGATTGCTTACGAACGTTGCAAATTTTGGATTCACCGACTCTTCTGACGAATGTTGGCGAAAATCAGGGTTCGCCTCTGCATTTAGCGAGGCTTATCGATGTTGAGCGACAATTAGCAACATCCGAGCGTATGTTTGTGAAAGGCAGATGGCGACTATAAGCGACTAAGCAAATGTTATAGCGACAGTTTTTGCGAAGATTAGCTATTTGCCAATCCTTTGCCGCTATTTGTGAATTTTTGGGATCTTATGCTAACTCCTGGTACTCAATGGGTCGATCTTACGTGTATATAGGAACCATATGATCACGTAGTCGCTGGCATTGGTGAATCAAAAGGAACATCAGCGATACCATCTTACAACCATTTACAAAGGCTAACGACTGTTTTGCAAACGCGTGCAACTGGTGCAACAAGAAAAACTGTTTAGAACCTACCTCCAACATTTTACGAACCCTGGCAAAACCACAAATTCGCTACATTCGCAAGCATTCACCCTCAGTGAGATACCCCCTTTAGGGATTTATTTTTTAGACACAGATCTTAGTGTAACTCTGTAAAGAGAATCTGCAGTCTTCTTCCTTGAAAAAGAAATGTGTGTTGTAATACCTGCCTAGAAAGGCCACTTGTCTACAGTGGCCACTTCCTCTGTTTCCCTTGGGTGACCTCAGTAGAAAGGTTTAACTGCATTTGTATTTTAAGCATCATGCCCCCTGTCCACACACAGCATTTTCCGTGACTAATCATGATTAGCTATACCGTTTCGCGATAGTGATACCGTTTCGCGATAGTTTTACGACCAAAATTGTAGGTGTGGACGCTCAGTTAAACGATACGTCGTATAACGAAACTAGTCTAACGAAACGCAGGTTTGGGCATCGTTTCGAACTGAACTGAAACTCGATAAAGAATCACGCCTAATCACGGAAAATGTTGTGTGTGGACAGGGGGAGTGTAACTAGTGTAACTAACTGGCCGGGGCTTAACGTGACCTCGAGAGCGAAATGAGACCAGACCTCTTATCACTATCGCGAAACTCTATAAAGAATCACGGAAAATGTTGTGTGTGGACAGGGGGCATTTTATACGATGATTCTTTAGTGACGACGTTTCTTGTGTGTGGACATCCTGGAATTTATACGATGATTCTTTATACGACGTATCGTTATAGAGTTTCGGGATAAATTGTTTTGTGTGTGGACACGCTGTTACAAACATAAAAAAGATTGATGAAAATGCTCATTCCCTTCCTGTTGAGGGAATAGAATATTCCATAAATGGTTTATTGCTATGCCACAGGTTGATGTCAAAAAGACTGTAACCATGATTAACATCAAGCTAGGGAGTAATAAGCTATCTAGAAGTAATAAAGAGAGAATTCTGATTTATGACTGAACATCCAAGCAGGCTGTCGTGACTCTAAGACATGAAGTAAATCATTTTTATGCGTTCACATGTAGCACAAGGCCCACTGTATGTACTTGCATTTGCAAATCTTTACAATTCTTGCTTGGTTTTCCTCTTGTTTTTCCCATCTTCATTTTTTATTCAACTCTGACATGTTTGGTGTGAAGATGAGAGACGTGAAAAGATCCTAACAATTTCTTTTCAAGAGAGTTTCACCCTTAAAGGGATTTTTTAGAAATTTAAACTTTATAAGCACAGTCCAACCAGTATTGAGTATGATAATTTGAAGGTATAAAACCCTATGATAAATTGACAGAAAACAAATTAATTGTATATTCTTAGCTCATTGCTGACATGGAATTTCTAAATAACCACACTACCACATTATAGTGAGGAAATAAACTTTAAACATAAGTCTATTTTAAAAAACAAACAGAAATATGTGAAATATTCTAACAAAGAAAATGAGAAATATCATAAAATATTAGACATGTTTATGCTTTCGTCATTCTAGGCGACAAGGTACATGTATTTTTACTATTTTGCATAGGACATTTTTACGGCATTGAATGCAAGGTTCTTTGTTTGCACTATAGGAAGTTATAGGAAATTTATTTTATGTCTCTCAAAGAATTTGATAAACAGAATTGCAAAATCATTAGTCATAAAATGTATGAATGGCCACTGTCTACAAACATTGTGTGTATATATTTCATCTTGTATGTGTAACCGTGACAATGTGTGTGTGTGTTTGTGATTGGCTGAATTTGGATAGAGTTCCGTCCAGGTAGTGATCAACAATACACTAGATAAAAAAGGGGGTGTTTACCAGAGGGAAAAAAATATTGAAAGGAATTCAAGTTATTTGGAACGATTGAATTTGTTAAGGATAAGCTGTTTTTGTGCCGGAAAGGTAATAAATAAAAATATATATCTTCAATATTTACTGTGGGGGTAAATGATGTGGAGCAGAGCTTTACAAACAACTATACAAACATAACCACTTTTATAAAAGGATCTTTTATCAACATGCTTCATTTTCCTCTCTCATTTTTATGTTATTATTTTTATGGTTTGCAAATACTAGATTTCATATTTATTCAACTTATAATAGTTTGGTGCATAATCCATTCAAAATTGTTTTGAATAATAAGATAACAAAGAAAATAGAACTGACCCCCCCCCCCCCCCCCCCCTAATATGAAAAATTAGCCATTACTTGTAAACAAAGTCGAACCAAAAAGAATACATTCCCTAAGTTTGAAATGATTTTTTTTTCTTCAAGCAATTAATCTTTTGTTAAGAGCTAGATTGGCATGAATTCATATACTCCTCAACAGGTTTAGTGCCCTTATACCCTTACACATTTGATATGATATAGATTAATGGAGAATTCCAGCTCTTCCATTTTCTCTTGATACAATATTAATGTGTAGCAATATCGATACTGATGTTGATGCCAAAATAATTGAATGCCACAGGCTTTTATTGTGGATGCAAAGGTCAAATCGAGCAAGACTCCTTTCAGAAAGCACTCAAGTTTTTCGTGCCTGCCAGCTTGCATTGCAGAAAGCCAACTTTAGTGCTTGAGGAGACATGGACACCCCCAAACGATGCCCCTCTTGAAAAAAATCTGCTCCTGAATTATGAATCTCTAAGGATCCCGCTTCACCCATGATCAATATTCCTGAGAATATAGGAAATCTGTCTTTCTTACTCTGTCTACAAGAGACTCTGCCTTCCCGGGGATTGACTAGAATAGCTTCTGAGGCTGCATTCATATCAACGATTTAATCTGGGTCAGACCCGGGTCTATAATGCCTGAGTTGTCTTGAAGTTTTCTTAGCATTGTGGATTTCTGTTTGAAGCCAGAAGGGCGTTAACTCATTCCTTTGTAGCCTGGGAGACACGATGTGCTGGTTAGGAGGGGCCGTGTTTAAATATGCACTGCATGAGTAGCTGATTACATGTAGTAATTCTATTTTAATGTTTTCGTGAGTTCTTGTAATCACAGAAAGGCAATTCTTACCAGATGAATAAAAACACTGATTGTTCGTGACTACACATTAACAGTATCTGACAAAAAATATTGATAGAAAACATACTATAATTAGTTCTGCCTCGTTTTCAAATACGAGTCGCACATGTGATTTCAGGCATGTTTTCTTTTCTTTATATTTTACTAGACATACATGTACATGTAACTACTCTTTTGCTGCATGATAAACAATTAATCATGTTTTATTTTGTAAAACCTCAAAATGCAATTCCACCATCGGATTTAAAATTAGCCAGAGAGTCGTATAATTCAATGAGCAGAGAGCCATTTTTCTTCTTCATTTTTTCATTTTTTTTCTAATAAAGATTTATCAAAAGGGAGTTCAAATGAGATTTATACAAATGAGACCAAGGTAAAACCCTGGGGTTGAACTAATAGGAGATACTTTTCATAGACATTATTTGTAATGTGAAAGAGACCATTTTCTGCTTCATCTTCTGGGTCAGAGCACCTCAGCAGGCTAGGCGGGCAGGAGGTAATGAATTCAGCCAGCCTCCCGTCAGTCAGCGCAGATAGCATGCCAAATAGCATGGATTATCGACCACAGCCAAAGAGCCACCCTCTTAATCGCGCTACGCTCTCTGTCAAGCATCCATTCAAGCCGTGAGCTTACACCGAGGCTGAGCTCAGGATTGTACCAGGAGTCTTTTAGGATCACCTCTTCTCCTCCTTGTTTCCTCTCGGGCGGGGATATTTCCTTCGGGAATAGAAGATAGCAAGACTTCTGTCTTCACCATTCTTCAAGATCTTTCATCACAACACGGACATGTAAATACTCCTCAGGTCTGTCTATGTATTTGGATAATGGTTATCCCATCACAATCATCCTGGAGTCTGAGTGGTGGAGAAGCCTGATAAGGTTTTGGGAGGCAGGCTATCTCCGACCCCCCTGGGAGAGCTGTGGTCAACTGATCTAGGTCCCTCTGGAGGAATTGTTTACATCACTTTTTGTCTGAGCTGCCATCCTTATCTATCCCAGGGGTCTACTCTGACCCACTCAAACCCACTCTGGTCTGGATGACCATTGGACAGCCAGTATCTCTTGACTGGACATTACTGGTTTTAGTGTGCTATTGTGCTGTACTTATTAATCGTCACTCCAAAAATATGCCTAATCGTGGAACCATAATCTTTGACTTTTGATGTCTCGGAGATGATAACATTCTGAATTGAGAGGCACACAATAGGACTTGTGGTTTAGCTTTGAAGATTGAAGTCAGACTATTTTCATGTCTGCTGTCTGACTTGTATAGTATCTATTCAGCTTGGCTCCAGTCAGTCCATGTTTACTTTGTGTGCACACAGCTCAGAGGCACACAATGAGGTTTGGATACATCCATGGATGGGATGACTCTGCTAGCTCTGTGCTGCTTTCATTTGGGAGTTTGAGAGCTTATTCGATAATCTACCTTGACTATGAACTAGACAGTTATCGCCAATTCTAGATCAACTCATTCTTGAATCTTGCCTTAAATCGTGGAACATTCTACAGCTAGGATACGTTTTATATGATTGGATTTTTAAATCAACTTTCTTACGCTGCTGCTCTAGAAAAAAAGAAGCCACCACCATCTTCATCTTTATCAAACAGTGGAGTCTTGTCATGTACAAAGCTTTGATCTGTTCTCTGTGTGGATATCATCCTATTGCAATGGTTGGCTGATATAGTCGTTCTCATGAGAGGTTTCCCAGTGGATGATATATAACTTTTACTCTTCGGTTAATTTATCAGTGTCACCATGGTGATTTGTGAATTTTGTGCAAAGCAGCAGAAGCGGAGGAGAGGTAAGGTTCATTTAATAGCATACCTTCAATACGATTATGTTAAATACAGTGCAATTATTTTATATGTTGTCTGTGAACAATCTCAACATTACACCACTGACACAGTTTGTATATAGCACTAGTGCAGTTTTGTATTGCTCTAAAAAATAGTTGAAACTGTTACTTTTCATGAAAATTTTATTTGGAGTAAGTTTACTGAAGTATCCATGCTCTTGATAGCCCTTTAGGAAAATAATTCATGCTATTAGCATTCATAGTAAATAGATTTTCATTTTGTAATTCAACTAGAATATCATCAAAGGAAACCCAAATGGCTTATTTGATTGCCTGAGTTTTGCCTCCAAACCTTTTCCCAGCAGTTTCAAACTAGATTGGCAATTATTATTCTGTGCTACTTGAATTTAAAACATCATACAAACATAAACATAGCACTCATTGTACTGTGTGTTTATACCATAAACTTGGAATATGATTCAAGTCTTTTTCTCATACTTTGCAACAAAACTGAAAATGAGGAATTCTTGGCAGGAGAAAGAAGGTTAAATCCCCCTTAAATAAGACGATGAATGATTACGAGCAGCCGAGAGCATGCAATCTAGACTCCTTTGTCCAATCATAAGTGGGTTAGGACTGACTGCAATATTCAATTTGAGCTACAAAGCGGGGCGAGGGAGTGTCTACACGGACTGCCCCAAGCTACATTTGGATGGTTTATTAGTCTTCACGACCGTATTAAATGTAGGTTCTCGTGCTTTGGATGGAGTTGAAGTATTGAGTCATGAGAAAAATGAATATAAGTCACCCACTCGAAAGAGAAATATTGATTATTTTTCAGGTTTGATCATCAAACGGATCTTCGACTACGCGCAAGAAGGCAGTAAGCGCTATGAATTATCAATGGCAGTTACAGCCTTCTTGCTGACAGCTGACGTTATGTGGTCATTGCCCCATACTGGAGGATGAATTTTTCCACGAATCATAAATTTATCTTATTTTCTCTCTATTTAGTATAATTGCAAGAGTTAGCCTTACATCTTTGTTCCGTGCTGTCTTAGTACCTGCATGGGATGCGATAAAGGGGACTTTAAAAGACAGCAAGTAGAAAAATTGTCCAGATACCCTATTTACGAATATGAAATGTATGAAAGGGTATATCAATTATTGTAATTGTTTTAGCCTTTAGGGTAAAGTATTTATTGCAAACTAAATATTTGATTTTTATTATCCATTTACACTTGAGGTTGCTCGAGGTTGATATCAAATGCCCCCATCCTTTCATTCCAGATCAAAATGTGCACATTTAAGTGCTCTGTATACCATATGTAGGCCCTCTGATGAATGATGGTAGGATTAAAAAGCTCAAGATTTATTAATTTCTTACTTCTCTGTACACCCTTCCATAATCAACCCATTAAAGTATGAAAGTGGTACTACCCTCCTTTGCACTTCACAGATTCTTATAGCTCCTTGGGTTGAAGAGTTGTTTGCCAAGTGCATTCAATTGACGATTGGTAAATTTGCTCATTGGCCACCCATTTGAACTCAAGTTTTCAGGAATCAGTAAGCACTTGGAGACGTTGAATCAAATCTGACCCCCAAATGCCAATAAAAATTGCCTTACTTTCGGTCCTGCAAGACTGCATGAGACATATAAACTTCTTGAAAAGGCAATAAAGGCTGCAAATTTGATTCACATTGAAAATTCCATATTTAGTAATCACTAATGCCATACAAGTAGTCAATATCTTAATTGCATGCTTTGCGTTGTTTCTCCTTGTTTTAGCAGTTGCTCGCTCTCCTCCCTCCCTCCTCCTCTCCTCCCTCTCTCTCTCCACTACCTTCTTTCTTCCCCCTCTTTTCCCCCTCTCCTCCCCCATTTTCCCTTCCTCCCTTCCCTCCCCCCCCCCCCTCTGTCTCCCCCCCCCCCCCCCTCTGTCTCTCCCCTCTGTCTCTCCCCTCTCCCTCTTTCTTTCCCTCGCCTCTCTCTCCCTCCCTCCTTTTGTCCCTTCCCTCTTCCTCCCTTTCCCTCCCTCCCTTCCCTTTCCCTTTCCTCTCCCTCCCTTCCCTCCCCTCTCCCTCCCTCCCTCTCCCTCCCTCCCTCTCCTTCCCTCCCTCCCTCTCACTGCCTACTTCTCATAAATTTAGAGAGTTCAAGGGCTGGTCAGACGTAAATACCTGCTAACCCCAAGCATAGCACCTTTGATCTTGACTTGGTTTCGGTTATGAATTGTTGTTCAAGTAATTTGATCTTGCACTTTGGTATAATTCATTATTGAACTTTAACCATACAGAGGAATGGAGGACATTCACTAGTATAATTGCAGGGTTGTAATTGAATGCAATGACTGAGGTAATAATAGTGCTTGGTCTGTTACTTGGAAATCGAAAGGCGCTGTTTCACAAACAGTCAATTAGTTAATATTGTAATTAAAACCACCATTTTATTGACTCTTTATGGTGCACTAATGATTCATATGTTAGGAATCACTTCAAGTATTGGTAGTTTGATTTGTCAACAACTGAATCATAGTTGACACAACAATGAAATTTTGCAATCCTCAGTTGCCAAAAACATGACTGATGTTGCTTTGAATATTATTCATGAAAGTTTGATTTCTCTAAATTATCTGGTTTAACAGTATGTAGTTTTATTATTGCTTTTTACTAGTTATAATGTGCAGTAAATTAGTTCAGGGATTTTGAAGATGTTGACTAAGCCTTAAAAAGAGGAAATCTTGCCAAAATGACAAGGCAATTATGTGAATTTGTCATGATCTTGCAAACCACGACCAAATGTGAACATAGAGATCTTACAAATTCATGAAGATGTCACTTCATCGAAGTTTCCTCAACAAAAGACCAATTATGCACATCCTGTGCCGAAAATTGTCTTCACTTGTCCTACTAGTAAATTGCTTCAAGGACCAAATTAGCCTTAAGTCAAGGTCCATATGATCTTTATATGATAACATTTATACCAAATTAGCCTAAAGTCAAGGCCCAAGTAATCTTAGGTATTCTAATGTCTTTATTTGAAACATGTTCATAATGAACCTGTGACAGCAAGAGGTCTATTTTTGTCACCAATATCTAGTGGTTACCTAGGCCTACTCTTCTAATTACCTCATATTATCCCGTAATTCAATAAAAGTTGTTTTTGGACAAGAATTTGTTTTTCTTTATAAAATTGTTATGGCATTTATATCAGTTGATTGCTTAGTGTACATGGTAATTAGTAAACTTTTAGCAAGGCTACAAACTTTAGGAGTCCCTTAAAAACAAAAAAAAGACTTGTTTCAACTTCCAAACAACCAGGAAACCAAGTATTGTCGTCAATTTAACGCTGTCCCGTTTCTGTCGCGTTTCTCTTGAGCGTGCTTTGATCCCCCATCCCATGCGCCACTCAAACCATACTGTCAACCAACGATAGATGGCATAACCCCCAAATCTTATCCAATTATTCCCATTTCAACGATGCACGCTGATTTAAATGCGGTAATACCCCTCAAAGTTTGGCTTTCCGTGAAGGCTTAGGGAGAGCTGGTTGGAAACCGGCACATGATGGTGAGGAGTTCATCACGTTCAAGAGGAAAAACAGAGGCTCGTAATTGAGTGTTGTGATTTCCTGATGGCTATTTTTAGAAAAGCTTGCTACCAAATTAAGGCATTGATGTTTGAAATTATGCTGAATGATTACGACGGCTGGGCTGGGACTTAGGGCGTGATCAGATATGAGTATTTTTGCGCTGTGATTTCCTCTCGACAATTTGGGTGTATATACATGTAGGAATCCCACATGACGTGATTGAACTGGTTTAGACTTGAATTAAGGATAAGAAATGTTGACTTGATAGCAGTTTATAAAAGTAATCTAAGGAGCTACTGCAAAAGTGTAGTGATGGACCTACATGTACATTGTAGATATCTCTTCAGTTTTACTGTATATAAAACCAATGTCATCATTCTTATTGAGGGTTCTATAGTCCACAATTCACATTATCACTTGTATGGGGGAAGTAACCAGTTTGTTTCTTTGTATTATTACTTGAAACTGGATTTGTAGCCATACAAGAAATTTTCTTGAAAACATTATTTTGCTATCTTTCACAACATTACTTGAATGTAAACAGAACATTTGGCAATGTTTTTTTCTTTTCATTTCATAGATCTATAATTCTATATATCATGCTTGTTTTTACATGTACGCCATATTGTCTATCATGCAAATAAGGATTTGTCTTCACAGTATAATTCCACTCACGTTTCATATTGGATAGGTAGCAATAAAAGGCAACATTTGCTGAACCAAGTATGAAATTGCTATCATTCTGCACATCAAGAATTGCAGATACATGTAGATCACGGCACTTCCACTTTACACTTGATATCAACTGCTGATAGTCAGATGGGCGTTAGCTCTGTGTTAAAGTCCTGATATTGGTAAACGTCCTTATGGCTTTCAGGGGATGATTGCCCCTGCCAATCGTACACATGTACATTCTGCCTGTGCATTGCCACTCAACGTTTTACAAGGAATTTGAATCGTAAATCATGGTAGTCTGTAACAAATATAAGTGGTTGGTGTTAGGTTTATATATGTTCAATTATATTTCTGGATGCCCTTCTGACTCTTAAAGGTAAAGACCAGTTCTGGTCGTGTGATTGCATTGTGAAAGAAACGTTGTGGAATCAATCAGAAAAGGTTGATCATCTAGCATATAAGTATTGGTGTGTACTGCAAGGTTCTGGAGTCATCAAAATGATAAGAAATTTGGCCCAGTCTTGGTAAAGTTACAAGCACTGTACACAGAAAGATGTATATGGGACTATACGCACACATGCGGGACACATGCGTTTATCTCTCACAGACCAAATTTGACCAATAGATAAACTAATTTACCAAATATATCAATGAGTAGGCGGTTTCCCTCCAAATTTTTTATCATCATGTATTAGTCAAAACATATTCTTTCACATGATTGGTAATAATAAGAGCTTCC